AGTAATACAATTTCCAATAGGTTAAGAACCCTCACAAATCATAAGAAAAACAAATGTGGCAGCAGGAAAATGTGCAAAGAACATGAATAGACTGTTTACCAAAAGAATACAAATGGCCAAACATGATTTTTCAATTTCACTAGTGATCAAAGAAATACAAATTAACACTAAGATACAATTCTCCCATCAAATCAGCAATTTTTAAAAAACAATATCAAGAATGTAATGCAACAAATACTCAAGCTCCCAGATGGAATAAACTTAAAATATTCTTAAGAAGCAGTTTGACAGTATGTGTCAAGAGCCTTAAAGTGTAAAGTAAAAACTAAAAACAGCCCAAAGAACCATCGTTAGGGAAGCTCTCTTAGTTAGCTAAATTATTCATTTTTATTTTTTTTAGAGAGAATATTATGTTTTGGTTAAATGCTCAAAATGCAATTAAGAGGAAAGGAAAAGAGATGTATACACAATATGATAATTTTTTGTTACATATTATGGAAAGCAATATACTCAATGTTAACAAAAGCAGGATTTGAGTGATTTTAACCTTCTACTTCACAGTTTTCTACTTTCAAAAATTTCTACAAAGGATTTACTACTTCAAACATTTCATTTTTAAATTTCCAAGCAAGAGTTAACTAATCAAGCATAAGTCTCCACCTCAGAAAAACTGTGAGGTAAGATACCTTATCATGATGCATTTCAGTGCACAGATGTTTATGGTGAATAATGGGTGGTGAGATCCTGGCTTCAACGAGACTAAGTTGTTCTAACCTGGCCACAGATGAGAATTCAGGTGATCTCAGACAGTTGTCCTCAGCAGCCTCCCTGACATGCTCCAAAAGAGACCAATTAGATTTTCTAAATGCAACCCTTCCTACCAAAGTGGGCACAATTTTTGGAACCTCAGTCTGAGCAGGCATTTATATGGTGACTATTAAACCACACAAAAGCAGGTCATTTTAGTCACGACAAGGTGAAGCAACCCTATGGTTTTACTCTAGGGTAGTTATGAAAAACAAGTATTGAAAAAACTTTTCCCCACTGCCATGTACACTGATGCATGTTAGTCTATTCAGAGAATTTCTTGAACTGAATGAAGTCTGATGTCCATTATTCATATTCACTAAAATCAAAATTTCCTGTAAGAGCAGACTTTCCAGATCTAGTCTCAACTTAACACATTTCGTACCGCTCAGGAGTTTTCTCGTGTTTCGCGCGCCATCTGTTAAAGACCGCTCACGAGTGTTCTCGTTTTTCACGCCCATGGAAAAAGGAGCGAATCTAGATACTTATGTAAATTTTATTTGGTCCTTCTTCATAGAGGAAAATGTTTTACGCAGTACCATACGTTAAAAAAGTACTAGGAACTTTAATTGTTTAATTGTTTTTGTAAATAAAAATGTTATAATTATTGAAAAACAACACCTAAAGTGCATTATGATGATTTAAATAACATGCAGTTTGCCCAAAAACGTGCGGTCCCTGGCGTATGTCTTAGAGATTCCTATGAGGTACGCAATGTGTTAAAGTGATTTTACAGAGAGAAACTCACCCCCACCCCAAGAAAAAATGTTCTACTCAAAAAACTGACAGGTGATTAATAGTATAAAAAGATAAGCAATAGCCCTAGACGGTTTAGCTCAGTGGATAGAGTGTTGGCCTGCAGACTGAAGGGTCCTGGGTTTGATTCTGGTCAAGGGCACATGCCCAGATTGTGGACTCAATCCCCAGGAGGGGGCATGCAGGAGGTAGCCAGTCAATGATTCTTTCTCATCACTGATACTTCTATCTCTTTCTCCCTCTCCCATCCTCTCTAAAATCAATAAAAATATATTTTAAAAAAAGATAATCTATAAAAATAAATGAGACATTTGGTAACAGCCCTGAACACTCAAGACCATCACATAGTATTTTATATTAATACTAGAGGCCCGAAGCACAAAGATTCATGGAAGAATGGGCCTTCCTTCCCCTGGCTGCCGGCACTGCCTTCACTCTGGCCCAGAGCCACCTTTCCGCCTTCCCACACTGCCCAGAGGCCTAGAGCGGCTGGAGCGGTGCAGAACACCTGTGTCGCTGCCATGGTGACGATGCAAGTGCCCCGCCCCTGGCCACTTGGCACCTGCGTATGCAAATTAGTCCACCACCTTTGTTGGGTTAATTTGCATACTCACTCCTGGTTGGCTGGTGGTACATTGCAAAGGTATAGTCAATTTGCATCTTTCTCTTTTATTAGTGTAGATGCACTACAAAATACTCTATTTTTGCTCATTTTCAAGGCCCCCAACTGAAAGAACTGCCAAAATTGTCTTGGTATGATACCTCCAAACAGACTCTTAAAACAGTAATATATTTTTCAGATTTCAAAGAAGAGAATGATCTAATATACATGCACAATAAGCTGCCTGCTAGTTAACTGTGAACTAAAAAAGTCTTCATAAACACTGTTGCCCAGATACCAAACTCAATTATTAAGCATTATCATGCACTATATAAGCCTAATCATTACTTATTTTCACTCTTATAAGAAAACACATTAATTGTTAAATTATTTGGCGTAATAGAACATTTAGCATAATTCCTTCAACATTTAAGCTGCTGCCAAACAACAGCTTCTAAATGAAGCATTTTCTGAATTATTAGATTACCTTGATAAAATATTATAGCAAGAATCTCAGTTTTTACTTTTCCTCTAGGTTTCCATTCTGTGTAACAGCTGAATTCAAATTTCAACATCCAAGAGATTGGTAGGCACATCCAGTTTAAGGTTCACCTAAATGTCCGCGTTGTTGCACTCAAGTCAACTCATAATTTATCCCATCTTTACAATTTACACAACTTTTCAACTGCCCTTGCTATAAGTTTGGGTGTATCCCCCTTCTCCAATCATGTGACTCAAAAACCTGAAGTATGAATTATTATATCAAAAATGCACAATGTCGCAACTTTTCTGGGATAACAATATGGTCAGTGTAAATGATATGTCAACTTAATATTTAAACTTCGGCTGTTCTAACTTTGCTGCTTCGCATAATTCTAGGAAGACCATTCATATATGTCTTGTGTGAACAGCACCTCCTGAAACTGTGCAAGGCACAGCACAGGTAGTCATATACAGTGACCCTGCACCTTCCCTACCATTTGATTCTCCATGATTACCTTAGAAAACTCTACATATTTTCAAAAGCCACAAACTTACTAAATGGTGTGAAAAACAGAAACTAAATTATAGATCCAGTTAATTTACTTTGAGGTTTTACTTAGTATACAATTCAGAATAGACTAGAAACAAACCAACGGTGTTTTAGTTTTAAACACTGGTCAAGGTAGTCAAAGAGATATGGAAAATATAAACAAAGCACACCTAACTTATAAGCCAAACAGGGAGAGTCCCCATGAAGACATTTTCTCATGCTACTCTTGCTACCTCTATAATAGTATCTATCTTCAAAGAGAATTTTTTTTTACCCACTTCTTCTACCTTCCCAAAAAAAGGCAAAGTATTGGGGTGGTTACATAAAAATTTGTTTAGTGAGTGAAATTAAGCGCTGTATCAAGAGATCCATCATTATCTTGGTTAACAGATTAGTACAGAACATAAAATGCATGATCAAACAATTTTATAGATATTAAAAGCTTTAAAATTATTAAATGCAAAACTGAAATATACCTAGAACCAGCCTCAGAACTCCAAAGTCTGCTTCGCTCATGCATTCAATGATGAGCTTCAATTAAATCCCTTCCCCATTAATTTTAGCACAAGAACTACCATAGGAATTCAATAGATAGTAAAACAGTAAGCACGTCTAATGACTGTAAAACTCTAACATAACATATGAATGTGTTTTATATTATAAATTATAGAGCTTTAAAACCAATCATTCTTGTTACTGAGTTTATGTTTGGTTAGCTTTAAAACTAATCATTCTTGTTATTGAGTTTATATAAGTTTAGTTAGCTATTGGTATAATTAACCAATATTTTTTCTTCAAATATTCTTTGTATATCAGCAATATGTTATCTTCATGTGTAAAAACAAAAAAAAACTTTCAGAAAAATAGAAGGAAAAACAGTCACCCATAAAACCAAAATTTCCCCCTTTAATGTAGTAATAAGTAATGCTGCTGTGATCTACTAAGTGCCATGTAATTTACAGAATGTTCCTAATCATAAGTCTCTTTAATAAGAATCCACCAATTACTAACAATTCAAACCTCATCTTTCTCCCACTATGAGATCTCAATACTACCTTTGTAGTGCACAGTACCAGATGTGATAATATGGAAAAAGCAGGATGTCAAACATGTAATAAATTAGATCCTTACACCAGCGAGAGCTGAACAAGAAAATTTCTAGCAAACTTTTTAAAGCTTAGGAAGTAAGGGGGAAACTTTGAAAAAAACAACAACATTCTTTTTGATGAGAGTGACAACTTAGAATAGAAAAATGTGCAACAAGGTATAACTAGCTTATCATGCACTGAATGAGGAAAAGCACATAAAACTACTGTATTAGGAGAAACAGTTATTAGAGAACTTTAACGAACGATAAGACATGTGATTTCAGACACCATAAGCTCAACTGCAGTGGCTATATAATAAAGCAAGGTGCCTATTCCTGAGGATAATGTACTTAGTAATAATGCTGAGCAGTGAGTATTAAATCTAAGCAGTGCTAAAAAGGCAATGATGAAAGTTCAGGTAATGTGTTACAGAGAAAGAGACATAAGAAATTCCGTTATCTAAAAATAATCTTGTCCCTATCATTAACCATTTAAATTTTTTTTTTTTTTTTTTTTGCTAATGTGCTAAAGTGCACTGGAAACCTCAGAATAGGTTTTTTAAATTGGCCATGTCTTGTTAATACACTGCAGTCTTCAAATTTACACAGAGCTGCAGGTCTCTTGGATTTTTTTCAAGTGTCACTCATTTAACTGAGCCTGAAAGCTGAGAAATGCCATCAGGTGCTCTACAGTCAGTTTAAAAAACATCCTCTACCTGGTATCTCTGCAGTGATTGTCTTGCTGCTCCCTGAAACCTCTTCATCATCATCTGATGAGCTTGTGCTTGAGTCACAAGTCAGGTCACTATCACTGGTACTACTGTCCTGCAACAGGTTGTATTTCTTACGCGCAGCAGCCTCCCGTTTCTGCCTCAGTAGCCTGATTCTCTCCTTTTGCTTTTGGCTCCGGTGACCTTTAACCTTGGTGACTCGGCCATTCTGTTTATCACTAGATTGCCGGTTTTTCTTGGCAGCCATAGTGGACGTTTCACTTTCAGATCGGGACCGTCGAGACTTGCGCCCAACTGTGGCACCAGACACGCCAGAAGGGTCTCCTTCTACAGCTGTTTCTGCCTGGGAGGGTTCATTCTCTTCTGCAGAAGACAATGTATCTGAATCAGCCAGGTGACCACTAGAGGAAGGGGAAAGCATGCAGTGGTTAGAGGAGTCACTCTCATAAACTCGGCCAGTTGTCGGCTTGTCACTCTCTGTGGATGCTAACTGAGACTCAGAAGAGTCCCTTCTCAGTTCCATCAACAAGCAAGGCATTGAAGAAAGAACTGCAGAATCCACTACACCATCTTTCTGAATTTGAGATTCCAGTTCTACAGATCCATCTTCCTCCTTAGTTGTCTCTTGTTTGGATGTTTTTGGTGGGACTTCAGACTCAAGTTCTTCGACTTTTCCCACTGCCTCCTCCATCTTCATTTCAAACTTTTGAGTTAATCATGGAGCAGGGTCAAGGAAACTATGTCAAAGATGCAACAGGAAAGCAACCTGGGCAAAAACACACAAAATCAACAAACAGAAATGGCAAATTATTTAATTAACACAATATGCCTACCTTTCAAAGTGGGTAGCAAAAGTTATCATCATACAGGCTTTTAAAATATATATGCCTTCATATATTCATCAACGGTCAAATTCAAAAGACTTAGAACTATCAAAATACTAGCATACACAGCTACCAAAAATGACACAATTTAATCCTCTATTCCTGAACTTGAATGGACAGCAAACAATCAAACAAGGATTTTCAACTCTAAAATTTAATTTCATGTGTTTAAGAAAGAGATTCTCGCCGAAGCCGGTTTGGCTCAGTGTTTGGAGCGTCGGCCGGCGGACTGAAAGGTCCTAGGTTCGATTCCGGTCAAGAGCATGTACCTGGGTTGCGGGCACATCCCCAGTAGGAGATGTGCAGGAGGCGGCCGATCGATGTTTCTAACTCTCTATCTCTCTCCCTTCCTCTCTGTAAAAAATCAATAAAATATATTTTTTTAAAAAAAAAAAGAAAGAGATTCTCAAAATTATGATATAGTTAATATGTACATTTTGGGTTTAATACAAATGAAAAAGAATGCTTAAAAACTGGTCTAGAACAAGTTAAATGAAATGATTACTTTAACACTCAAATCATCAAAGAAAGGCAAAGGGGAAATTACAGTAGAGTAGCATTCAATGTACCCTTATATTAAAAAAAACACACACACACAAAAAAAACCTTCAACTAGGTGCATTTGGCAAATGCGCAAAGTAATTATATGCATTGAACCCTGTCTGCCATTCCTCCCAACAGAAGTTGCTCTAGAGGGCATTAAGATGAAAGGCCTGACTCTGCTTTTCTTCAGTACTCCTAGTTCCCACAGTACTATCATGCTGAATATGAGTTTAGTGTTTAAACATGTTTTATTTAACTACTTTGTGAACCCAGAAAACCTAATGCACTCTATTCCAAGAATGATTTAAAGAGTTTAAGAGAAAATACCCTACACACATTTTCCACCTTATATGCTAACTTTAGAACCTAACATTCTTACCCTATTCACTGTGTGTGCTACAATTCCACTTAATCATGGAGAAACAGGACATAATCTTTAGCCACCAGAGTTGGAACCTATACAGTGTAAACTTCATTAACTGACAGTTTTTAAGAGGATGCTAAAAATGTGCAAAGCAAGTACAGTGGGGCCTTGACTTACGAGTGTCCCGACTAACGAGTTTTTCGAGATACGAGCCGTCTCTCAGCCGATTTTTTGCTTTGAGTTGCGAGCTAAAATTCAGGTTACGAGCCAGCTTCAGATACCCCACCGCTAGTTGGCGCAGCGAACGTCACAGTGAACGCCAGAACATCAGCCCAGTATCACGTGTCTCACTCGTTCACTTTAAGATTTGACATACAAGTAATTTGAGTTATGAGCTCCATCACAGAATGAATTAAACTCATTAGTCAAGGTCCCACTGTAAATACCTCACCCTGTAATATGTGATGTTAAAGAAGGCAATTATCATAATGTCCCATAGGTCACAGACAAAATATTAAGCTAGATGGTATGCTAGTCAGGTGCAATGAAACATCATCAGCCCTGGCCGGGTAGTTCAGTTGGTTAGAAGCATCGTCCCATTATGCCAAGGTTGCAGGGTCCATCCCTAGTCAGGGCAAATACAAGAATCAACCAGAGAGAACCAAGATGGCGGCATAGGTTAACGCTGGAGTTTGCTGCCTTGAACAACTACTTCAAAAGTGAAACTAAAAAACGGAACATACATCACCCAGAACCACAGGAACGCTGGCTGAGTGGAAGTCCTACAACTAGGAGGAAAGAGAAACGCATACGGACACTCAGAGGAGGCACAGTGCTGAAGTCAAATTCTGAGGTGCGGAGTGCGCGGAGCAGGCTGGCGGCGGAGGGCGCGGTAGGCGTTTTCAATCGGGAGGGAGTCGCAGACTCTGAGCTCCAGATACAGGCGAGTCTTTAGGGACCCAGACTCAAACGGGAGAAGCGGGACTGTCCGGCTTCAGTCAGAGCGAGTGCAGCTTTCTCTCCGAGGTTTGCAGCGGGTGCTAGGACTCAGAGAGGCAGAGCCCCTGGGGACAGGAATGAGAGCCGCCATAACTGCTCTCTCCGGCCCACCCTGTTGATCCTGTGCAATCCGCCCCGCCCAAGCCCTGCATAGAGGCATTTGCCGGATAGCTTCAGGCAAAGGCTAGATTAGCACCTCCCTAGAGGACAGAAGTTCTCTCACTGCAGACACAGCTGATTCTCACAGCCACTTGGCCTGGAGGTCAAACCCTCCCTGGTATTAGCTACAACAATCAAGATTTAACTATAAGACTGCGAACAAAGACCACTAGGGGGTGCACCAAGGAAGCATAACAAAATGCGGAGACAAAGAAACAGGACAAAATTGTCAATGGAAGATATAGAGTTCAGAACCACACTTTTAAGGTCTCTCAAGAACTGTTTAGAAGCCGCCGATAAACTTAATGAGATCTACAAGAAAACTAATGAGACCCTCGATCTTATATTGGGGAACCAACTAGAAATTAAGCATACACGGACTGAAATAAAGAATATTATACAGACTCCCAACAGCAGACCAGAGAAGCGCAAGAATCAAGTCAATGATTTGAAATGCGAGGAAGCAAAAAACACCCAACCGGAAAAGCAAAATGAAAAAAGAATCCAAAAATGCAAGGATAGTGTAAGGAGCCTCTGGGACAGCTTCAAGCGTACCAACATCAGAATGATAGGGGTGCCAGAAGATGAGAGAGAGCAAGATATTGAAAACCTTTTTGAAGAAATAATGACAGAAAACTTCCCCCACCTGGTGAAAGAAATGGACTTACAGGTCCAAGAAGCGCGGAGAACCCCAAACAAAAGGAATCCAAAGAGGACCACACCAAGACACACCATAATTAAAATGCCAAGAGCAAAAGACAAAGAGAGACTCTTAAGAGCAGCAAGAGAAAGAAACTCAGTTACCTACAAGGGAATACCCATAGGACTGTCAGCTGATTTCTCAACAGAAACCATGCAGGCCAGAAGGGAGTGGCAAGAAATATTCAAAGTGATGAATACCAAGAACCTACAACCAAGATTACTTTATCCAGCAAAGCTATCATTCAGAATTGAAGGTCAGATAAAGAGCTTCACAGATAAGGAAAAGCTAAAGGAGTTCATCACCACCAAACCAGGATTATATGAAATGCTGAAAGGTATCCTTTAAGAAGAGGAAGAGGAAGAAAAAGGTAAAGATACAAATTATGAACAACAAACATGCATCTATCAACAAGTGAATCTAAGAATCAAGTGAATAAATAATCTGATGAACAGAATGAACTGGTGATTATAATAGAATCAGGGACATAGAAAGGGAATGGACTGACCATTCTTGGGGGGGAAAGGGGTGTGGGAGATGCGGGAAGAGACTGGACAAAAATCGTGCACCTATGGATGAGGACAGTGGGTGGGGAGTGAGGGCGGAGGGTGGGGCGGGAACTGGGAGGAGGGGAGTTATGGGTGGAAAAAAGAGGAACAAATGTAATAATCTGAACAATAAAGATTTAATTTAAAAAATAAATAAATAAATCAGAAAAAAAAAAAAAAAAAAAAAAAAGAATCAACCAAAGAATGCATAACTAAGTGGAACAACAAATCAATGTGTCTGTCTGTCTGTCTCTCTCTCAAATTAATCAGTAAAAAGACATCTCCATCATTTGACTCCAGGTTACATGACAGTTAAAATATATAGTAGACAGCAACTAGAAAATATCTAAAAAACCTTTTATTAATCTAACATGCCAAGCCTACTTTTTGCTTAGTATAAACACAAATTTTCTATACACTTGGGTTGTTTTTGTTTTTAATGTACTTTTATTAATTTCAGAGAGGAAGGGAGAGATAGAAACATCAATGATAAGAATCATGGATCGGTTGCCTCCTGCATGCCCCACACTGGGGATCAAACCCACAACCCCGGCATGTGCCCTGACCGGGAATTGAACCGCGACCTACTGGTTCCTAGGTCAATGCTCAACCACTGAGCCACCAGCTGGGCTACACCTGGGTTTTTTGTTTGTTTGTTTTTCATGGTCCTCATCTGAGCTACTGATAAAATAGGCATTTGAAGGAAGTTTCCTTAATTAGTTCATGAAAATAAATGTCCCTAGTGTCTATGATGTTTTGATTAATTTAAAACAACCCAATGTGTAGCCTATTTCATAAGCATATTTGCATCACCACTAATCCTATATAATAAAAGGCTAATATGCAAATCAACCAAACGGTGGAACCGGTCGTTATGACACACACTGACCACCAGGGGGCAGACGCTCAATACCGGAGCTGCCTCCTGGTGGTCAGTGCACTCCCACAGGGGCAGAGCCACTCAGCCAGAAGCCAGGCTCATGACTGGTGAGCGCAGCAGCAGTGGTGGGAGCCTCTCCCGCCTCCATGGCAGTGCTAAGGAGCAGTGAGCCGAGAGGCAAGGAGCAGTGAGCAGGTGGGTAATAAGGAGCGAGGGGTCCTGGATTGTGAAAGGGTGCAGGCAGGGCTAAGGGACACAAACACACACACACACACACACACACACACACACACACACACACACATATACACATATACACCCAGTGCACAAATGTTGTGCACTGGGCCTCTAGTTATATTATCATCCCCCTCTCACTTCCCTAGAACCCTACATTAGTGATTATTCCTTGGCATTCATCAACATCTCACACTCAACTAGATATCCATCCATCCATTCATCTGTTCTTTCATTTTTTAAAATCCTCCTCTGCATATCTTCTCAACCTCTTATTGCATCCTTCAGGTACCACTCTTCTTTCAAAGCCCTTATTAAGAGAGCTGTCTAAACACCCTCCTATTTGTTTACCTCTCACATTCCCGCTCCAACCCAGTCCCATCTGATATCTTCTTCTATAAAACTAGTAGAACAGTTCTTGCCAGGGTCATTAAAAACCCCCATATCTCTAAATC